GCATCTCCCCTTGTAAGGACACCATTAAAGCAGGTTTCTGGGGCTCAGAGGTGCTGGTTAAACTCTACTTCTTATGTTGGATGCTAGGCACACGGGCCCTCACTTCCTTATTATTAGTTAAAAGACGTGCTGTGATATATACACTTGTATATGCATGAGACATTTAGCATTTAAAAAGTAAAACAAAAACACACACGCAGACTCACATGGGGCATGCACCTGCACAGGTGAGCACACTCGGGTGCACCCCACCTCTCTGGGAGTTCTGTCCACAGGATTTAGAGGGACCCAGTTGCCTGCATCCTAAAAAGCTCATTGCGATGAATCTCCTGTCCACTGAGGTTGAGACTTGCTGCTCTAACAGAAAGATGCCCACACTCACAATCTTTTCCCTCAGGATTCCTAAAATTGGGGAATGATTGGAACGAGCCATTTGCTCTTCTCTTGGGAAGCTAAATGAGTAGCATGTGTCCAAAGTATGACGTTGGAAGTCATGGGCAAGCCGGTGAATCTCTTCCTTACGGGCGGAAGTCTTGTCTTCTCACACATTAAAAGCTTTCCCGAAATTCACGCCAAGATGCACGTTGACATTCCCATTCTATCCAAGTGGGTATACAACTCAGAAACAGCAAAATTAACATCCTGCCCTGGGAAACCCACATGCTGTTTTTAGAGCTCATACAGCAGGCAGACAGCCCAGCTCTGCAGTGGACAGAGGTTAAGTGTTCTCATTATGAACCCAACGCCCCACTGACCCTCTGGAGTGAAACTGATTTGTGTGAGAAAGAACAAAAGCACATGCTTGAGACATAAAACAGAGGACCCGGAGACCATGAGGGAATGCCCGCCTCAAGCTCTGAACTCAGGGATCGCCAGGACCAAGGTGACTTTCTCATCCAGAAACTATGCAGTGTGGCCTTTCCCCAGCTTCAGGCCTCAGTGCTGGCCACTGTCCGGGGCCCAGGCTCTCCAGGAGAACACTGGAGATGAAGAGGCCAAGAAAGGCAACGGGAGGCCGTCAGGCTCAGCTCCGATGGCGGTTTCCTTTCTCTTAATGCTTTTTCTGCCAATGTCCAATTTTTCTTCAACGAACGCGTTTTTCTTTTATAATTAAAAAAAAAAAAGAAGCATTGCGTGGTTTTTCATCTTTTAACTTCCTCTTGAAGTAAAACGCACACGTTGAAAAGTGCACAACTCAGTGAATTTTCTCAAACTGAACGCACCCATGTCACCCACACCAGATGGAAAAGCAGAACATGCCCTGCATCCCCAGGACCCCCTTGAGTCCCTCTGGGTCACTCCCCCAAGGGTGACCACGCCTGACTTCCAATACCGTGGTTCCTGTCGCCGAGCTTGGGACTTTATGTCAGTGGAACTACACAGAATTCTCCTTCTCTCCTGTTTTCCCCAGTGTTTTATTTTTGTGGGGGGTTAGTTTTTATATTGCAATAAAATGTGCATAACATAAAATTTACCACTGTAACCATGTTAAAGTGTGCGCCCTAGGGGCATTGAGTATATTTGCACTGTTGTGCAGCCGTCCCCTCTGTCTAGTTCCGGAACATTCCGTCACCCCAAAAGAAGATACTGGAACAGCCAGTCCTTACCCCTCTCTCTCTCCAGTCTCTGGCAACCATGAGGCCATTTTCTGTCTCTGGATTTTCCCATAATGGGCTCATACGATATGTGTCCTCCTGTGTCAGGCGTCTCTCACTCCACGTCATGTTTCCGAGGCTCATCCATGTGGTAGCAAGCGCCCCTGCTTCACCCCTTGCTGAGACCGAGTGATAAGCGCAGGGTGGATGGGCCAGAGTCGGGGTGCCCGTTCACCCGCGGACGGACGTCGGGATGTTTCCCTTCAGGAACAGTGCTGTCGGGCACATTCATGTGCCAGGTCTGGTGTGGACACAGGGTGTCCTCTCTCTTGGGCACACCCCTCAGAGAGGGACTTGGGGGTCAGATGGCGACGCTGGGTCCAGCTTACAGAGGCCCAGACTTGTCTTTGTGTCGGGACCCCTTCCCTGAACAGTGGGTGAGGCCCGGGTGCCTCGGCCAGCCTGCACCTGCTTCTAGCCCGCTGCTGCGGGTTCCATGGGCCGAATGTGTGCCACCCGTGTATCCACTCTTCAGGTGCTGGGGCCGCTATGAAGGAAGCCTCTCAGAACATTCCACGCTGGACCGTGGTGACAGAAACACAGGTTTCTCTTGGGAATACCGACAACTGTGCACATTCACACACAGGCGTGCACATCCCTCCCTGGCTCTCCCTGGCAGATACCGGCACCTCCTCCGCTCGCCCTCCCTCCCCCCAAGCTGGCCAGCCTGCACCTGGGGGCCTGAGGCAGGGACCACCAGGGGCTTCCCAGGCCGATATGGGGGGGAGAGAGAAATGGGTCCAGGGACAGACTTCCGGGCAGAGGTTCCACACGCGGGCATCTCCTTCCACAACATGGGGAGGGGATTGCAGTCCTTGATTCCTTGGCACATGCCTCCTGGACGCCACTGTGGGCCAGGCCTGTGCTAGGCTCTGGGGACATGTGCCGGCAGGGAAGGGTGACAGGAAATGAGGAAGGCCATGAGTCAGGGAGCCAGTGCCAAAGTGGCACAAGGACAGTCAGCAGGGTGAAACATGTGCTGCCTAGGAAAGGGAGCCAGGAGGGCATCATGGAGGCAGTGTCCGGGGAACAGGCCTAGTTAGACTAGGCAAGGTGAGTGCCCAGCAGGGGGCTCTGCTCCTGCAAAGGCAGGGTGGCTGGGCACTGGGTATCACCTGTGCTGGGCCGGTCTCCTCGTTGTCCCACTGGCTAGTGGTGCAGACACAGTGTCATGGCAGGTAATCGTCACCCAGAATGGCTTTGGTCCTTCCTCTGGCCCCTGCTGCCACCTAGCCTCAGGCCGGCCCTGAGGTTCGGGTTTCTCAGCTTGTGTCCTTCTCGGGACATGCAAGGACCAGGGCCTGGGGAAGGAGGGCCGGCCCGACCAGATCCACAGAGCGGGAGGGACCCTCGAAAAGAGAAGAGGAGCCTTCGTGGGACGGCTGTGCAAGTGTCATCAGCGGCACGGCCAAGGGCAAGGTGCCTCAGGGCACACAGCCCCTCGGTGTGCGGCGCTGGGGGTCCCCCAGGCCGACTGGGAGACCAGCAGGGCCCTCAACCCTCTGTCCTCCTGTTGGGAGGGTGAGAACATCCCATCCACAAGGACACTGCTAGGCGTGTGCCTGACCACAGCTGGTGGCGTGGTCTAGGTTCCCGCCTGTGCCACCCCAGCGGTCAGCCCACAAGTCCCGCCCCGCCACCCCCCGGGGTGAAGCCCAAGCAAAACACCAGCCAGCCTGTGGGTGTGCAGGTTCCATCCTGGCTCCGCGCCCAGCCCCAGCCCCTAGCAAGGGGGGACTTTATGTCAGTGGCATAAAGCCTCACTTGCGGAAGGCGTTCCGTGGATGTCTGTGGCATAAGTGCACCAGTGACTGGGGGATTCCTCGATCAAGCAGTCAACGAACGGTTCGCTGACTTGGTGGTCTGAGGGTCCAGTGCTGTTGGCTGTGACAGCCACCTGTCGTGTCTGGACAGCACAGCCTGCCCGCCCCTGGGTGCCCCGTCAGCACTGCCCTCCCTCAGACACACCGAGTGCTCTCCTGCACCGGGGGGTGGGGGGGCGCGGGATGAGGGCGGGAGACCATCCTCCCAATTCTTCCTGAATGGACTTAGAATTTGTAGCAAAGTGGAGCTTGAGGACACCCCTGCTGCTTCTTCCCGCCCCCACAGGACCCCCGTCTCTGGCCTGCCTATGGCAACTTCCTAATGTTGACTTATTGAGCTTGCACACAAATGTGGGGGGGGCCTGCCCCTGCCCAGGGCCCTCCACCCCCCACTTCCTCCACTAGCCACCCGGCGGTGTGTGTCCCTGTGCCCCAAGGCCTGGGGGGTCCCATCCCCCAGCTCTCCTGGGTGGCAGTGAAATTTCCACATGCTTGGCTTCCCTGCATCCCTGCATCTCTCTCGGCAGCATATCCCTCCCTGGGTGCCCTGCCCGCTCTTTGCGCATCCTCCGGCAGCTTCCTGAGAAAGGTGCTCAGGACCCTCCTCACCTGCACACAGCTTTAGGCAGCGCTCTTACGAGATTCGCCGCATAGAGCTTCTGGGACAGAGAGCAGCTTCCCCAGGACGTGGAAGGCCATGCTGCTGTTGCCTGCATCCTCGTGTGGCGGCCACCAGACCCAGAGCTCCTCAGATCCCTGGCTCCTCACCCAGGATCCCGGCTGCTCTCTGGAAGCTTAAAGAGTCAGTTTTCTATCCCCTGGTTCTGGAAATTTCATAACTCTGTGCCTGGGGTGGGTTTTCACTCCCTCAGCCTGGAGCCTCACATCCTCCTGTTTTAGAACATTTTCTGGCAGATGGTTTGCTTGATGGCGCTCTCCGTTCCGTGTTTTCCTAACTCGCTAACTGCAGGTTAGACTGTGCCTAAGCCGGTGGTCTAATTTTATGTTTCCTCTTGTATTTCGTTTCTTTCTAATTTACGGGATATTTATCTCTTTTTTTTAAGATTTATTCATTCATTTGAGAGAGAGGGAGAGCAGGAGCAGAGGGAGCAGAGGAGAGGGAGAAAGAATCTCAAGCAGACTCCCTGCCAAGTGTGGGGCCCAACGTGGGGTTCCATCCCACAACCCCAAGATCACAACCTGAGCCAAAACCAAGAGTCAGACACTTAACCGACTGCACCACCCAGGCGCCCCACGGCACATTTATCTTTGACTACATTTTCACTCTTGCTATTTTTTTAATTAAAAAAAGAGAGAGAGAGAGCGCGCTCTTTCTTAGTCTCTGCCTGTCCCTTTTTTATAGCTTCTTGTTCTTAGGTGAAAGGTGTGGTATTTTCACTTATTATCTCTGTGAGAGATTTTTTTTCTCTTTTGCATTATCTTTTGCTCTTCTTGTTTGTTTCCTCTGGGCTCCTTTATTTTGGCAGGTATGGAATCTACCTTTCGTGTTAGATACCCTTACCTCGAGGGGTTGGTGATCCTGGAGGTACCTTCATGAGAGGCACACAGTGCTGATGTGAGCAGCGTGCTTGGATGGGTGAGGGCAGCCCACTAAGGGGAAGACGAAGGGTCCAGGCACTTGGCCAGAGGTCTTAGGAGGCTAGGCCAGTCCTACAGAATCCTCGGGTCTCCCGTGTGGCAGACGAGCCTGGCCGCCAGCAATCTGGGAATTAGCAGAGTCCAAGCCAAGGTCGCCTCTCAGGATGTGCCTGTGCCTCCATCCCCCTGTTCCTCCCTGGCTGGTACGGACCCCGAGCCCAGAGCCTCCTGGCCCTGACCCCCAAGAGCAAACCTGGGGCCTCCAGTCTTCTTCCAGCCCGAGCGGCGGGGGTCTGGGGTCTAGCTGCTCCTTGTAACTGTTCTTCCTGCCCTCAACCCCACTCCATGCCCTACCCTCTGAGCCGCCTGGCCTCCTGGATTTGAAGCAGGCTCCCCGCTGAGCAGGGAGCCCAGTGTGGGACTTGATCCCAGGACCCTAGGATCATGACCTGAGCCGAAGGCAGATGCTTGGCCAAATGAGCCACCCAGGCGCCCCTGGAAGGAGATCTTACAATTGCATGAGTTGCTGACAAATAAAATCAGATTTCTCATAAAAGCCAGATTTCTTTTTTTTTTTAAGATTTTATTTATTTATTTGAGAGAGAGAGCACGAGAGGGAAGAGGGTCAGAGGGAGAAGCAGACTCCCCGCCGAGCAGGGAGCCCGATGCGGGACTCGATCCCGGGACTCCAGGATCATGACCTGAGCCGAAGGCAGTCGCTTAACCAACTGAGCCACCCAGGCGCCCCTCATAAAAGCCAGATTTCTAGCTCTCCTTAAAAACGGGGGGTCTGACAGCTCCAGACCCAGCATGGCCTAGGGCATTTAAAGCCAAGTGTTCTTGACAAGTCACTTAATTTTCCCGAGTTTCTATATATTTATCTGTAAAATAAAAACTTACTTTTAATTTTTGAAGAACAGTCCAGGGCAACACCTGCCCTCCCACCCAGGAAGCATACTGTCCACACCCTGCCCACGCGGACACAGCTCTCCGCACCAGGGAGTGTGCAAGCCCCGGGCCTGGAGAGTTAGGACAGCGGTGGGCAGGACTGGGGCCCTCGCCTGTCCTCTCCACCCACTGGGGAGGTGACCCTGAGGAGGGTCCCTGGCAGAACTTTGCCCAGCACACCTGGACGAGGTGTTTGCACCTGCTGTAGGTGCTGGGGACCCAGGCTTCCCTCACAGGGCTGGCATTCTTGGGGGCTAAGCCAAGGGCATGCAGGTCAGAGATGCGGTGGGGGGTGGGTAGATTAGGGAGGGGTGCAGGGTATGTGGGGGGCTGCTCTGCCATTTTCACAGGGTGGCTGGTGGTTGCCGACGGCCTGTCTGATTGGATGACATCGGAACAGAGAAGAAGGGAGGGCTGGGCTGTAAGAGGCCCAGAGAACAGCATCCAGGCAGTAGGAACAGCAAGTGAAAGTCCTCCCTGGCATCCTGAGTCCCCCGATCCCAGAGAGGAGCAGACAGAAGGGGGAGTCACGGCTAAGTCAGCAGGAGCAGGTGGGGCCACTGGTACTTCCAGTGGCCGGGGTCTGGTGGCGGGGGAGACACGTGTGGAATTCAGGGCCCCCCTGGCACCATGGTGCCCCCTGCGTGACTATTTCGTGCGTGGACAGCGCCGCTATCCCAGCCTGAGGAGGCAGGTAAGCAGGGGCTCAGGCCCTCGGGAATGAGGATGGGGTCACACCCCAGGTAGGCCCCCAAGACCTGCAGAGGTGACAGCAGAGGTGGGGTGTGGCTGGACAGGCAGGCTGCAGAGCAGAGGAAGGAAGGGATGAGCCCCAGCTGAGCCCCGGGAGCAGCTGCAATGACGGGGCTGGTGTGCCTGCCCCCCCGTTGGAGATCACCCCCCAGGAAGAGCGGCTGGGGCACCCCTGGAGGAGCCCCCACGTGCAGGGGAGACAACCTGCAGCACGAGGAGAGGACTATGGCCACAGAGCCCAACTGTGAGGGAGGGAGGCTGAGCTGACCACCTGTGGCTGAGGCTCTGACTCAGACTTTGCCGAGAGCAGCTGAGATGGTGGGAGACAGGGGCACCAGGTCCTGGCCCTTTCTGTCCCGTGGGGGGCTCCCCCAATGGACACTCTTTCCTCGGCTGCTCCGATTGGGTGGGCAGGGACTCGGCCAGGTCTGCATAGTAGCCGACAGCCCCAGGCCAGCCTGACTTCTCCCACCTTCTGCCACAGGAACTACCCCCAATAATCCGCACCATCCCTGTCTCAGCACCTGCTTCCTGGAGAAACCAGCTGGGACCCTTTGGCTTGGACTTTGTGTGACGACAGGCAGGGCCACTGGGAGGGCTCGTTTATTCACTCAGCAAATATTTGGGGTGCACGCATAACAGCACAGCGGGGACCGTGGCTTCCGGAGCCCAGGTCTGCACTCTGGCTCTGCTGGGATGGTGGGCAACCTCCTCGACTGCCCTTGTCCTCGTCTCCCGTCTGTAAGACTGGCCTAGAGTGTCGCTGCGACCCTCAGATGGCCTAGCGCAGCAGACCCAGCGCACACTCGACAATGATGAATCTCCACCGTCACGGTTCTCCTTCAAGGGCCCATTTCAAGTTATTGGCCGTACGGGCCTCAGTTTTGTACTCAGACACTAGAATGTGTGGTCTGCGAGTAGCAGGGCAGGGGTGGTAACAACAGGCTTGAAGACTCGGAGCAGAAGATCGGGGTTTCTGGGCTGCGTACTGTGTCCCCTGCACTGCACGCCGGCCGGGATGGGAGGCTTCTCCCAGCAGGGGGTCGCCAGTCCTCTCCCAACGCCTACTGTCAGAGAAACCTCTATCTGCTCTGCCCAACTGAACACAGAAGTCTGCCCCTTGGGCAACCACTGGTGGAGAGTGGATGCTTGGTGCCGAGGAACTCGCTTTAGCGGGGAAATGACGCTCATCCCCGGATGGAGCAACGGCACTGCTGGGACACGAACACCCTGTCCCCAGATAACATCAAGCTGGGCCCGGTTCACCTCACACGTTGCGGTGGGAATATAAAGTGGTGCAGCCATTCTGGAAAACAGTCTGGCAGTTTCTCACAATGTTAAATATAGAATTACCATATGACCAAGCAATTCTACTCCTAGGTATATACCCGGGAAAGGAAAACATATGTCCACGCAAGAACTTGTACACGAATGTCCACAGCAGCATTAGTCATAGTAACCGAGAAGCAGAAACAAACCAAATGTCCATCAGCTGGTGAAGATGTACGTGGCTTTGGGCGGTGGAGTGTTTTTCAGCTGTAAGAAGGAAGTAGTGACAAACGTCGCAACGTGGATAAGACTTGAGAGCATCTCTAAGTTATGCCCAGTAAAAGAAGCCAGTCACGTAGGGTAGGATTTCACTGAAGTGAAATTTCTAGGACAGGCAAACCCGAAGTAGCTGCCTGGGTCTCAGGCGAGAGGAGGGTGTAGAGTGACTACTAGCAGGTAGAGGTTTTGTGTGTGGGGATGAAATGATCCCGAATTATATGGTGATGGCTACACACCTCCAGTATGTTTGCTAAACACCACTAGACCGTACATTTTAAATGGGCGAATATCTGGTATGTTATATCTCTATAGCATTTTTAAACAAATAAATAAATGAATAAGGCATGAATTCCAGGCCAGCCTGGGGTGGAGAGATCAGATTCCAGAGTGCTCGCCCTGAGCTTCAGCAGTGGGTGCTGAATGCTATTTGTGAAAACACTCTGCCCCCAAACCCAGCAAGAGTCCCAAGGCAAATGTGGCTCTCGTGTCCCAGCGCTTGAGAAAGACAAATATGTATTCACGTATGTCTGCGATTGGCTGGAGGAACAAGATGAGCCACGGGAGATATGTTTCAGGCGTCGACCTCCCTGTCTAGCTGCTGGTACCTGCTGGTACTCTGTCCTGGGAAGCTGACTTCCTGACAGCTCTCTCCCCAGCCCAGCCAACGTGCTGCCCTTTGTCCGCCTGGGTCCCTACAGGCTCCTCATGCACGTTATTTCTTGCCACCCAGTGCGTGAATCCGAGCTCTGCATTCAGGGTGGCTAGGGCCGCAACAGGAGAGACAGTTTATGGTGTTACCACCACAGATCTTAACACAAAGAAGGATGCCCACATGCCTGGCAGAATGCTTTTCACCCGCACACTGGAGCCTTTTCCTGGGCTGTGGGAATGTCTTAGTAGGCGTACGAGGGGCCCTCAGGTTGGCCCGTGGAGCACCGTCAGGGGAGTTCAGGCTGTGGGAGCCTCTGCCACCACTTCTGTTTACATGACTTCATTCTTGGGGCTGCAGCTCTCCCCCGCCGGCACAAAGACAAGTGCCCAGCCTTGGAGTGGACTTGGAGCTGGCATCCTAGGACGTTCCTGGGCAAGCCTGTGCGTTACCATGGCAACTCCCTCGGATGTGTCCTGCATCTTTTGCACGAGGTCAAGAGAGGATAGAGCCCTGAAGAAGTAACTGCTTTCCCAAATGCCCAGCTCCAGCCTCAAGGGTGGTCTGTATCTGGGGTACCTTTGAAGGGTGAGCTCCTTGAGCACAAAGGTCGCTTCGGGTCCCTGCCCCCACCCCCCACCCCCCAGGGCTGAGTGCTTCAGGGCAGGGTGTTCAGGTCAGCAGCCCGAGATGCTTATCTGAATCCCAGCCCTGCTACTCGCTGGCTGGGTGGCCCTGGCTGAGCACCTCCCTCAGGCTGGTTGCCTCAGCTCTGCAGGTAGAGTATCACACCTCCCAGGACTGGGGCTGGGGTTAGGGGAGGAGAATGCATGGCCAGGCGGGTAGTGGCACAGGGCACCTCAGTAAACACTGGCTGTTGTGGGCACTTAGTAAAAGCATGGTGGATTGCCCTGGAATAAGGCTCTCAGTATTTATTTTCTTTCCAAGCATAACGGACATGTGCACAAACGCGCTTGGGTCCTGAGTGGTCAGCTCCATGGAGGTCCACAAAGGTAATGCACCTGTGTAACCAGCACTGGTGGCTAGTGCCCAGAAGCCACCCAGGCTCCTTCTAGCCACGAGGCCCCAAGAGACAGCCACCCTAACAGCCCACCTGTGACTGTATGTGTAGGGGATCGGGCCATGTGTTTGTTCTCTGTCTCTCTCTCTCTCTTTCCGCCCTGCCTGTGCAACCGAGGTCGGCTCACGCTGGGTGCCCCAGAATCTTCCAGCGGGGAACACACTGCCATCAGAGATCCAATCTCCTGCCAGCGGGCCTGGCGGTTTCCGGTTTCACTGTGAAAACGTTCTGGTGCATATCCACTGGGGAGCAGACACACGCACCACCATTGGGTCCTTAGAACTATCTTTTATTGGTAAATAAAAAGTACTGCCGGGGCGCCTGGGTGGGTCAGTCGTTAAGCATCTGCCTTCGACTCAGGTCATGATCTCAGGGTCCTGGGATCGAGCCCCGCATTGGGCTCCCTGCTCCGCGGGAAGCCTGCTTCTCCCTTTCCCACTCCCCTGCTTGTGTTCCCTCTCCCGCTCTCTCTCTGTCAAATAAATAAATAAAATCTTAAAAAAAAAAAAAAAAGAACTGCCAAGTGCACGGGGCCCTTATATTCCCCTTCCCTGTTTCCTCATCCCATTTCCTCACCCTCAGCCGTGGCCTCGGTGACTTGGTCATGCTTTCCCTTCTTCCCTCGGGAACTGCCTGGAGGCAAGGTCCTGGGGGGCGGTAGGCAGCCTGGGCAGACTCCCTGCCCTGGGCTCTCCCGCAGCCCCTGGAAGCTGAGCTGGACAAACAACAAGGGCAAGCTCCCCTCCAGCTGGGCACTGTGCGGGAACCCGAGCGAGGCCAGCTGTGCAAAGGCTCTTCAGGTGGGGGCTGCACTGTCAGCGGCCCCATCATCTGGCAGGGGAAGGAGGCGCCCACGGGCACGAATGCCTCCCTGTGCCTTCACTCCTCAGCCTCTCAGGTAGGTTCTGGACCCACACTCACACTGGGAAGACGAGGTCGCAGATGTTGAGAGAGACCACAGCCAGGAGGCACCGGCTGGGCTCCAGCATTTTTGAGGGGCAGCTCCACTCAGGGATTCCCATCAGCTCTGCTCATCCCCCGTCTAGTGGGACAGGAAAGGTAGCTGCAGCTGCTCACTGGGGTCTGGGTCCCAGTGTCTTTCTTGTACCTCTCTTCTCCAGCCCTGGCTCCCTTACACCAGAGCGCTCAGCTGGGGGGAGGGGGGAGATACAAGCAGAAAAGGGTTTGAAGGTGAGTGGAGAGGCGGAGCAAGGGGCTTCACCCATTGTTGCTCACGGGGTCTCCAGGGAAGACAGCCATGCAGAGCCCTGGGCAGAGGACATGGATTCCAACAGGATTCGCAGAAATCGGGTTAGGCCGCAGGGAGTATTACTAGCCATGCAAGAGCAACGAGGCCCCCCTTCCTGTCTTTACTCCCACAGGTGAGCCTTGAACACACCCTCCCTGTGCCCCTTTCCCCACCTACAAGACCTCCTAGTAAGCGAGCAACACCTTCAAAGCCAGCCCTGACTCCCCCACCCAGCCCACCTGTAATCCCTCAGCTCCCTCCCACTCCTGCTATCTGCAGATGGGCAAGGGCTCTCCCAAAGAGGTGAGCACCTGCTCTCGTGCCAGGACAGCAAGGGATGGGTGAGGTCCTGCCCTGCTGACCTGACTTTTGCTCTGTGGACCAGCTATTATTGATGTTTCTTTGAATCAACTCACCTGTTGTGTTCTGCTCCTGGTAAGTAATAAAACCTACAATTCCAAGGGTCGTGAGGCTCATTCTTGCTCAGGTGGACATTAGAGGCACAATGATATTCTGTGGTGAAGTGCCTCTCCTGCAGCAGAACCTGCCAGACTGGGGTGGAACCCAGGACATTGTCACACGTGTCCTTATTAAGGACCACTTCACTCTCCTCCATACACACAGCAGGTGATTAGTAAGTGGCTCACGTTTGCAGTGGAAACCTCGCTAGTCAAGTTTAGGTCCCGCCACAACTGCTCCCCTTCTCAAATCTTTTGCAAGTGCCCTCCACTTTGGGCAAGACACCACAGAATGAATGGTAGAGCCAGCATTCCTGGACCTGTGCACCCCATATATTTTTAGTCTCTGCCCTGCCTGGGCATTTGCCCCATGGCTATTGTCCTCAGGGAACCACCTACCTGCACACCAAGGTGTCTGGCAAGCTCCAAGAGGTCTCTGGAACTGCACCCCACCCTGGTCCTGAGGCTTCGGCTCTCTTTTCCCAAGACAGAATCAACTCCTGTTAGTAAAGAGTGCATCCCCACCTCCAACACAGAGAGGCTTGTAGCTCCAAAACCAGGATCTGGGAGGCAGAAAATCTGTGACGTTGGGCAAGTCATATTCCAGACCCAGAAAGTGGGGGGGAAGGATGCCTCGGCTGCACAAGGGGGACAATCAGGAGACCTGGGGCGGCAGCCCCTCGGGACAGGTGCACCCCTGGGAAAGGCTGTGCTAAGGGAGAGTCCCATCTCACTTCTAGGAGCAGGACCCCCCATCCCCAGAGATCTCCCCTCGTGGGGCTAGACTAATTCCATGGCTGTGCTGCCCCCATTCTCCTCACCAGTGCAATTTTCCCATGTGCCAAGAATCAATTCTAGAATGTACAGGTAAGTCTCGGCAGATGCATTCTGAAGACGTGGAAAGCCACGTTTTCTGCTTCCTTGCGGCTCCCTTTTCTCAAAGCCATTACTGTTCTGGTCCTAGACGTCGCTGGGTGCTGGCAGGAGCCTGTCCCGCCCACAGCTCCTCTGTCGTGTGCGGGGTCTCAGCCCTCCTCTGTAAGAGGAGGGGAGTCAGATGCCTGGTCCGGGTGGCGGGTTATGTCCTCTGCAGTGGCTTTCATTCTTTTGTTCGGCACTCACGGTAAGAAACACATTTTACATCTTTTTTTTTTTCTTAAAGATTTCATTTATTTATTTGACAGAGAGAGAGACAGCGAGAGAGGGAACACACGCAGGGGGAGCGGGAGAGGGAGAGGCAGACTCCCTGCCGAGCAGGGAGCCCGATGCGGGGCTCGATCCCAGATGGGATCATGACCTGAGCCGAAGGCAGACGCTCAACAACTGAGCCACCCAGGCGCCTCATTTTACATCCTGACCGAGTACCCACGTAAATATTCACACACGTTAGTGGCCTAAACACAAAGCAATACTCTCAGTATGAGGGATGCTCTGGTATTTTCCATTTTATCCTGTTTCGTTTTCATAAAATGCTGGTCACCATCCACCAAGTTTCTTCCGTACCGGATCTGATGGGCCGGGTCAAGAGGGAGAGAGAGAGACAAAAAGCAAGCGCACACGTGCACGCTCGCAGTCGCTGACGGAGCTAAGCGCCGCGCCGGGGCAGTCGGAGGCCCCTCTCCGCCTCCCACCCCGGACGCCCAGGACGCCTCCCGGCTGGAGCCGGGCGGGCCAGGCCAGGCGGGGCTTTGAGGCGCTGGTGGCGGGCTGGGATTTATTTTAAGGGACGTGAAGCTACCGCAGGTTTGGGGGAGGGGAGGGATTAAAGGAGAAGATGCGCTCAGCACTTTATATTTAGCGGCTGACGCGCCGGAAGCGCTCGTAACCCGCAGCCGCCACTGCGCCCTGCGCCCAGAGGGCAGGCCCCACCTCCACGTCGCGGTTAGGGACCCCGGCGCCCGCCTTCGCCTCCGGGGTCAGGGATTCTCGGTCCCCCGCCTCCACGTCGCGGGCAGGGACCCCGAACCCCGCCTCCACGCCGCCGCTAGGGACCCCAGCGCCAGCACCCCCTCTTCTCTCAGCGGGGTAGGGACTCCCGGCCCTCCGCCCCTACCTCCAGGACAGGGAACCCGAACCCCGCCTTCGCTCGGCGGGACAGGGACTCCCGGCCCCCCCGCCTCCATGCCGCGGTTAGGGACCCCGGCCCCAGCACCTCATCTTTACTCAGCGGGATGGGAACTCCCGGCCCCCCGCCTGCACCTCGCGGGACAGGGACCCTGAACCCCGCAATCACCTCCTGGGACACGGACCCCGAACACCGCCTCCACGTCGCGGACAGGGACCCCCAAACCCCGCCTTCGCTCGGCGGGGCAGGGACTCCCGGCCCCCCCGCCTCCACGCTGCTGTTTAGGGACCCCGGCCTCAGCACCTCGCCTTCAGTCAGCGGGATAGGGACTCCCGGCCCCCCGCCTGAACCTCGCGGGACGGGGACCTCGAACCCCGCCTCCACGTCGCGGTTAGGGACCCCGGCCCTCGCCTTCCTCCCCGGGGCAGGGACTCCGGCCCGCGGGTGCTGGAGAAGGGGCGGGGCGCATCCCAGCCGGGCGGCCTTCCAGCCCAGAGCAGGGGAAGCTGTCCTGGTCTCTTCCACAGAGGGAGCGCCTAGCTGGGGGTACACGGCTCGCAGGCCCGCTGCACAGCGACCAGGGCAAGGCCGACGCGTTCCGCCCCCCAACCCCGCCCCTTGGCTCACCGGCCCCGCCCAGCCGGCACGCGCACGCGCGATCCGCCCCTCCCGATTCCCACCCCTTTCCCCCCCCTCACCCCCCTCGACCCCGGAGCCTGCCTGCCGGGTCTCGTGCTCCCACCCCGCGCGGGGCCCGCCGGGAGTTGGCTGAGGAGGGGGCGGAGAGCCAGGGAAAGCCCGCCCGGGCCCGCGGCGCTGGTTGCGCAGGCGTAGAGCGCGGGGCCCGCCCCTAGGCCAGCGGCGCGGCCATATTTAAAGGGAGGCCGGGGCGGCGAGCCAATGGGTGCCGAGCGTGCGGGGGCGGGGCGTGGCGGCGCGAGGCCCCGGATGTGGCTGCTGCGGCCCCTCCTCCCCCTCGCTCCCCTCAGCGCCCCTGGCCGCGCGCCGTCGCTCGCTCGCTGGTCCCAGCGCAGGCCCGTCGGGCGGCGGTGAGGAGGCGCCGAGGCGGAGGAGCGGGCGGCGGCGGCGGCGGCGAGGCGACCGCGCGGAGGCGAGCGGGCCAGGCCCAGCCGGGCGGCCGCCGCCATGAGCGGCTCGTCGGGCACCCCGTACCTGGGCAGCAAGATCAGCCTCATCTCCAAGGCGCAGATCCGCTACGAGGGCATCCTCTACACCATCGACACGGACAACTCCACCGTGGCGCTCGCCAAAGGTAGCGGCCCCGCGGCCGCCCCAACCGCCCCGGCCCCCGCCCGCCAACAGCGCGCGGCCGCCCCCCGCCCCTCGCGGCGCCCCCCGCGGGGCCCGCCCCCGGCAGCGGCTCATTGTGCGCGGCCGGCCCGCCCAGCCTGGCGGGGGGGGGGGGGGGGGGGGGCGGGTCCGGCTCCCGGCGCGCCGCCCCCTCCCCGCGCAGCCCACCTCCGCAGGTGGGGGGCCGCTGTCGCCGGGCGCGCGCGGGGAGCGGGGTGCCTGCGGGGGAGGGGCGGGGCGAGGGCCCGAGGCTCCCCGGGGCCTCCGCAGAACACTAGTCGTGCAGGCCCTTCTGGAACCTATTAAGCAGCTGGGGCCTTGAGCCTGAGCAAATACCGCGTCCTGGTGGAACCTCCTGCCGGGATGGGGGCGGCGGTCGGCGGCTGCCTCTTGCCCTGCTGCGGACGTTGCGGCCCCGCCGACGCCTCCGGGAGACTCAGGAGCGGAAAGGTGTATTGTGGCTCCAGAGGAGTCCAGAACCCTGTCCCCGCTTTAGAGGCAGGAGCGGGCTCCGAAGTTTCTTTGTCTCCATTCTCCAGGGAGGACGGCGAGTGTCGTTCCCTTGCCTCTTAGAGGGAGCTGATGGTGCAGGAAGCCTGTCTGTCCGCCGGGTCTTGCTAGGCCTCTAAGGGTCGGGGCTCAGCCTCCACGCTTGTTTGCTCGGAGCGAGCCCTAGGCCCTCGGGACGCCGTCATTCCGAACTCTGGGAGTATCTCCTAAAGCATAGCGCTCCCAAGTTCTGGGGCAGACCGTTTGCACTGCTCCGGGGGCGGATTCAGGGTTACAGACAAGGGTATGTGCTGACGTGTACTCTTGGCACTCGAGTGTGCGCGCCATGAGATCCCCATTGGAGAAACTGAGGTCCAGAGTCTCTGTCCCTGGCAGCAGTTGTGCTCCTGTTAGGTAGAGGCTGCTTCAAGCCCAGCTCTGCCCCAGAGACCGAAGAGGGACAGACCTGGAGAGACTTCAGTCTCTGCTGGTAAGGGTCCACAACCCCGAGAAGGCCTTCGGGCACACACAAGCTGGTGCTGCGGGTCCAGGTTGTGGGCCCGCTCCTGCCCGAGTTTCTGTAATAGCTCCTCCCGAGGCAGGTTGTGGGAGGGTGAGGGTAACAACCTCCAGGCTTCTCTCCTAGCCAAACAACTCCCTCCTAGCAAAACAAACTCCCAGGGGTGACGACGTGGGGTGAGGCTTCAGGCAGAAAGCAGCTGTCGGGCTGCTTAATCTTTGAAGTCAGGTGTAAACGGTGGTGCTCTGCAGAGCCGACCTGGTTTGCTGGGGACACTGGGCTTCCCGTGTTCACACTTGAGAATGTTAAACTTCACGGGATTGTCAGGCTCGGATGTCGTTAACCTGTCTTTGTGACCTAGAACCTTTTGGAGCATTGCCAACTGGGGTCTTGTAGGTGTTGGCCATTGGAAATTGGGGGGTGTAGGGTAGTTGTCGGAAGGTGAACTGCGAGTGCTCCGCTGTGGATGGTGTGCGGGGCAGGGCCGGTCGTGGAAGGCTTGAGAGCAGCAGTGGAGAGGGTGGATGGAACGCCCTTGGCCGAGGACAATAACCTAACGGTTCTTTCTTTCAACTCCAAAGTGAGGTCTTTTGGTACTGAAGACCGTCCCACAGATAGGCCGGCCCCCCCAAGAGAGGAAATCTATGAGTACATCATTTTCCGGGGAAGCGATATCAAAGATATTACTGTGTGTGAACCTCCGAAAGCTCAGCACACACTCCCTCAGGATCCTGCTATTGTTCAAGTAAGTGTGTTGCCCTGCTTTGCTGTGGCACGGTTTCTGAGAGGCTCTGGTTTCCAAATGGAACTTGGTGTCATCTGTTTGGCGGGAGCGCTCAACTCGAGGAATAGCCTTTTAGTGAAAAGTGGTTTAATTTCTGTCTAGGCCGTGGTGTTCCTACGAAATGTCTTAATCTCAGCATGCGGTAGTGTGTGCTGTGGAGGGAGACTCTCTGTGTGAGAAGGGGGTGGTGGTCTAGTCTTGTCCGGGGTGTTTGGGGAATTCTGTTTGTTTTCACATTTGGGTTGGGACAGCAGGACTTGCTCTCTTGACACTGTCTAGATCTTAAATTCCAGTGTTGTGGGACAGTGAATTTGCAATTCTTAGACCATACACCTGCTTGCTGTGTTAAGGCATAACTTTTTAAAAATTTTTGTTTATTTTTTAAAGATCTTATTTATTTGGGAGAGAGCACGAGGGAGGAGGGTGGGCAATGGGGAGAGGGAGAAGAAGACACCCCAAAGAACAGGGAGCCAGATGCGGGACAGATCCCAGGACCCAGAGATCATGACCTGAGCCGAAGGCAGTTGCTTAACTGACTGAGCCACCCAGGTGCTCCCATTAAGGCATAATTTGCCTAGGATTACCAGGGAGCCTCAGTTAATATTCTCTGGACTTAAAACTTAAAGATTCCCTGGCTCCTCTGAGGTTCATACTATGGGAGGTGCTCCCTGGAAGATAGGAGCGTGTGTGGGGGATTCTGGGACGTGTGGAGGAGTCCCAGGCCAGACTTAGGAGAGGTTTGCAGCGAGAGTTCTCAGGGACTTCGGAAGAGGCAAGTACCTGAGCCAGGCCTCGAGGGACAAAGGGGCCTTTTGGAAGCAATAGGCAGCAGTGTCCCTGAAGGTGTGGGGACCAGAGAAAGGGTGCTTGTCTGGGAACCTCACGGCTGTGCTCCCGTGTGTTGGGACAGGGCCAAATCGAGGATGGCATACCCACACAGAGGCTCAACTGCTTGATGACAGTGGGGCGTCATTACAGGGCTTGAGTTAGGGGAAATTGAGGTTCGGGTACCTGGACAGGCAGTGCTGGGTATGGAATGTGGGAAAGGCAGCTTTGAGCTCCCTTAGATCATCCTGGAAACGTAACCTGCGCCCCCCAGCCTCCAGGAATACAAGCTGACAAATCAGGCTGCCTTTCTCTGTCTGAGCAGTGCTTTCCAGGCGGGTAATGGGAGGGCCTTGTGCTGCTCTCATTTGTGTGTCTCGTTGCTCAGTCTTCCTTGGGCTCGGGCTCGGCCTCCTCCTTCCAGCCACACGTGCCTTACAGCCCCTTCAGAGGGATGCCACCCTACAGCCAGCTGGCTGCCAGCTCTCTGCTTAGCCAGCAGTATGCCGCTTCCTTGGGCCTAGGTGAGTAACCTGGTTTCTATCTGGTAAACTGCTGGTACTGTGACCTCCAGGAAGCGGGGCCACAGACCCTGATAGTGGGGACACTGTTCTTGTGATATTCAGTTTGTATCACATGCTTAGCACATTACTCAGTGCAATTTCAACTAGTTAGAATGCTTAGTAATTAATTGAGAGTGAAAGAGTCTGAATTTTGGAACAGATGAATCAAATCAAAATTTATTTGAAATGTTGGTCTGGGTGTAAGTCATGATACATTTGCTTTCAATAAGAAACAAGTGTTATGTGCGATTACAGATGAGTTCTAACTATTGGTGCGTCTGTAAACCTGTAAATACGAAAGTTGAATCAACATCTTATCTATGGTAATCGTTTGTCATTGCTTTGCTCAAAAGTTATTTCCCCAAAGGTGAACTAACTCTGGAATGAGGTTCTCTTCCGCACGTGTAGAGTGAGAGTCTACCTGGCCCTGGAAGCAGCTTTGCAATGTGTTCAAACCCTGGAGTTGGCAGGCTCCTATTCAAGCGTAGGGCTGTGAGCAGGCCCTGTAGACCGGTTCTTAGGTCACTTTTTAATCAACTTGTCTTGATTGCTGCTTCTAGTGTGGGTGCCCTTGTCAGCCTGGCTCACTGTGTTTCTAGAGTAGGTTTGTGTGAGCCACTGTCCTACGAGGGACTGCTTGGCTCCTTCCAAGCTTGCTAGACACAGGACGAGTGTCTCGTTACTTATTTGTGTACTTTCTCTTTTGCTCTTCTCTCCTCTGTCTTCTTTTAGAGAAGCTGGTGAGCCCTCCAGCCTCGGCCGCAGCTTCCAGCCCTAGTTCCTCTCCATCTCCACAGCCCGCCTCAGAGCTTGACATGTCCTCAGAGCCACATCAGCTCACTTCCAAGGGTAACCGCAGTTTGGGAGAGCTGCATGCTGTCTTGCCATCCTGAGAGCAAGGGGGTAAACCAGTAGCCCAGAGTGACAGTAGCTGTAGCCAAGCCCGCGGGTCAATTAAGCTGTTCCCATTCGATTCAATACATAGTCATGATTTATTAATGAACTCCCAGAGTTTTAAAGAAGGGATTGGAAAGAAGTGACCAAGCACTTGTTCACTCTCCCTGGGCCCAGGGTCAGTTTTGACCAATACTGAGACTACCGAACATGGGAACTTTTCCTCTGTACAGAAAGCCTTTCCCTGGGGTTTCTGCTGGTCCCAGATGTGTTCTAGATTGCTGGGTGAGACTGCAGGAGAGCGTCTCTAAGAAATTCATGTGTTGTTCTGGGATCTCTGTGCCACATTTGTCAGTCATCCCAGGGGCCTCAGGTGTCTTTATAATGTGAAGCCCCTTTAAAATTGGGAGACTTGCTCGAGCTGTTGACCAGGTGGGTGGTGTGGGCCTAATGACAGCTTGTTAATGCTGGTGTGTACCACCTGTCTCAGCTGTGCTGTGGCACCTCTTGGGGCTTCTTGACCTTTCCTGATGTTCTCATTGGCGAGGTGAGATTCATGTCCCTGACTGAGCACAGGAGCTCTGCCCTCACCACTGCAGAGGCTGGGTCCAAGATCGCACCTGGAGCTTCCACTGTGGCACACAACTACTGTCAGGCTGTTATTTTGCACGTGTCACTTTCTGCTCCTGCGTGGATGCCGGTGTGTCCAAGTTGTAGAAGCAGTAATGTGTTTTCCCAGTTAAAACTTGTATTAAACAGTTC